CGTGTTTTCCTTGTTTAATTGTCAGCGGCATGAGTCAGTCGTCCAATTTTATGCCCCATGCCTCTCATGGTCGCCGCGCGGCTGCACACTTGACACACTCCCTCCTTTTCGCTCAAACTTCTTGGTGACTCTTAATGCCCCGTCTTGGGCATAAGCTTTCCTTCCCCTCGTATTATTTTGTTTGTTGGTTTCACCATGATCCATTTTTCTTCATTTTTGAAGGCGATATGTTTCCCGAATATTGATTAGATCATGAAGGAGACCTTGCCCCACATGGCCCTTCTTGCCGTCTAAATTTGCATGACTTTTGGGTATTTTGGGAAAGATCGGAGAAGAGCGAGGAAGGGGAGAGATTATTCTCTTGTGGTTTATGATCATTATCTATAATCTTGAAAATGTGAATATGGGCGGTTTTACGCTGTTTGTCAACTCGGAAGTTTGTATTTTTCAGTAGATGTGAATTAGAGTGATTTGGTATTTTTATTGTTTTTGAATAATGTGTGATTTTGTGTACTGCATGACTAAGGGTATTGGATTTTTTTCTCTTATTTTGTGGTGAATAATCACATGTATCGATTGCTCTTTAGACTTTTTATTTCTTGTGTGTTCCGGTGTGTTGTATGAAGTCCTTATATGTTGATTATATATGTATTTGTGATGTCTGAAAAAATAAAGTATAAAATATCATTTACAAGGTCAGTTGAATAATTTGTACTCTTTGTTTCTTCTTCACTTGCAATTAATAACTCATGAATTTTTCTTTTCTTGCTTTTTACATTTTTGTTTGATTGTTTTTTTCTTCTCAACTTTAGAGAGATGTTAATGAAAGTACTTTGAGACAAGCTGATAGGCCATAGATAGAGGACTGACATGCCCCATGCCCACAGCTGGATGACCTGAGCTCCGACAGTGACGACGAGTACTTCGATGTTGTGGCGATATCAGCCCTCCGTCAGCAGCCCCCACCCCCTCAAACCCCAGCCAAACCCCCTCCACAGCAGCCCCCCCAGGCACCCTACCTCCCTCCCACCCACAGCCAAAGCTTACCAGCTGTTAACAAAGGCATCAGGCCTATGGGCAATGCACAAGCTCAGCAACATGCACCTGCAGCCAAACCTACGCCAGGTTCTGTGGCGAAGAATGCGGAGGCTTATAAGCCGGCTCCCAGTGCTGGTGCCACAGACAAGAACAAGGACCCGAAATCACAGGCAGCTGCCACTGCAGTCAGCAGTCCAGACCAACAAGCACAGAAAGTGCCTGCAGCAAATAGAGCAGTTGGAAACGGAACATTGCCAAAGAAAATCCTCCCAGAACAACAGCAGGTACCCAGTGCTCCCAAAAAATATCCTGCACCAAAGCCTCCTTCTGCGACGCAAAATGCGAACGAACCACTACAGCTAAACAGAACAGATCCTGCACATGGAGATTCCAGTTCGCCACCAGCTAAGCCTGAATACCAAGCCCCCGAGAAGGCAGTTCCAGAAACGAAACCTTCTGTGCCTTTACCTTCTGACGCAGTGAATCAACCACAGAATACAGGAGATGGCAAAAAGGCTACGCGAGCCCCATCATTCAAGAAATATCCAGCACCAAAGCCTCCAACAACAGTTCCCAGTAAAGATACAGTAAAGCCTGAAGTTGTAGAATCTGCTACACAGCCAGCCATTTCCCCAGAAGATAAAGCCTTACCTGTCTTAGATCCTGCTGTCCTAGAAAACAAAACGACTGGCACTGTTACCAGAGAGACAAAGCAGGAAACAAAATTCCATGCTGAAGCAGAATCTGGTGTGGCCTCTATAAAGAAACCACAGACAATCGACACTACGAAAGACAACACGACTCCAGATTCGACATTTAAAACGACTGAAAAGGAAACGAAACAATCTACAATAAATCAAGTAAACCTACAAGCTGACACATCTCGAAAAGTAAGAGCAGGAAGTCCAATTCCAGATAAATCAGTAGTGTTGGGCATAAAGTCTCCAACAGTGGTTACAGGGAAACTTCAGATTGCCCCCTCAGAAGTAGTTGTTAGTCAGTCGGAGAAGACGAAAGAAGCTGAAATGAAAGGAGCTTTGGTTACTTCAAACAAGATGGAACCGAAGCCCACAGAGCAGATCAGTGATGGCAGTAAGGCAGCACCAGAACCAAATAAACTTATTCAGAAAAATGACTGTGTAAGTGGTAAAGAAGCTGTTCACCAAGATTCAAATACAGCAGTGAAAAAGGAAAATGTTACAAGTGTTGACCAACCCAAAATGACAAATGGCATTTTAGTAGAAAGACAGAAGCAAGAAGAGATGACACAAAATGCAAAGAAAGTCCAGCCTGCAGGTCAGCCCAAAGAAGATAAAAAATCTAGTTATGATGACCCAGTTGCAAAGATAGAGAACTTCTTGGACAGTGAAATCTCAGATATGGAAGTGTTCAGTGAGAGAAGTAGCAGGTGCAGTTCTGTGGCTAGTGACCTTTCAAGAGCAGTATCTCCAGACTGTTCTCAGAAGTCGGGAAGACGCAGTAGAAGTGATAAATTAGCTTCGATCATGAACAAGTGGGAGAATGAAGAGGTTTCACAAGTTTCTCAGAAAAGTAACAGAGCGAGGACACCCAAAATTGGCAGATTAACTGGAATTGCCAATAAGTTTGAAGCTGGGAAGGATACTGGCAATGCAAAGAATGATGGTAAACTTCCAGATAACAAGAATAATATTCTTGGCAAACTGAAGAACCCTTATAGTCCCCCATTCAACCCAGAACCAAGACCCCCAGATCCAGTTCCAAAGAAAAATATTGGTGGAATCAACACAGCAAGGTTCGGAAGCGTTGCAAGTTTTACCAGAAAGCCGGGTGACCCCAAAAAAGAGGCTGAGAGAAAACAGCAAGGTAGCAAAGACCCAGCAACAAAATTAAAGGACGAAGCAACAGAAAATGCGATCAATAAAGAGAAAACTCAAACCAAAGAGTCAGGGACTGAGAAAGGAAAAGTTGAAGTGAATCAGAAGGATAGCAGTGGAGCTGCAGAAAACAAGGATTTAAAGGATGCTCAGGAAAAGGCAAAAGGTTATCAGGTGGAGGTTATACCAAATGGAGACATACATTCTGTAGATTCAAATGTATCTGTGAGTGAGAGTGAAGCAAAAGTCAGCAAGAAAAAGAAGAAAAAGAAATTGGTGGATGCAGAAAAATCAGGTGAAGCAGATGTTGCAAATGCTCAGCAGGATAAGTCAGCTGAGGGTTCAAAGGATAAAACAGGTTTAGTGAAAGAAAACAAAGAAAGTGTTTCAGATGCTTTAATTGAAAAGTCAGGTGTAAAGAACAAGGCAGCTGAAACCATAGAGTCTGGTACTAAGGACCCTATAGCTAACAGTACTCCAGTCAATGAAAATGAAAAGATAGCATCAAAAACTACAGATGTTACAGACAAAGCAGATGTTCCCAGCAATGAGAAAGCCAAAGCAATTGATGAAACAACAAAAGCCACTGAAAGTAAAGAGATTTCAAGCAAAGATGGTGGCTGTAAAAACCTCAAGATCAAGACAAAGGATACCACAGACACTCAAGAGAAGCCAGTTGCCGAACCTCCCAGTAAGGCAACAGATGAAAAAGTTGGTAATAAAGCCAAACAAAGAGGATCCTACACTTGCCAAAGAAAAAGTGGATAATAGCACTGATGCCAAAAAATCATCATTAGAATCTAAGGAGAAAACTGACATAAAGGTCAAAGAAACTGAAAGTGTTTCGTCACAGGCCACAGACAAGAAACCAAAGGTGGATGATATCAGTGATAAAGAAAAAGAAGCCATTGTCATGACTAAGCCAGATGACAACAAGGATATTAAGGTGGCGGCTGAGAAAACTGACGATGCCAAGATTGTTGAGAATAAGGAAGTTAAGGAAAAAGTAAATGCCAGTGAAAAAGTGAATAAACTAAGGCTAAAGGCTCGGTTAAAGTTGAATAAAAGTAAGGACACTGACATGAAGATGGAGGAAACTAAAGATGCCAATGGAAAGACCAATGAACCTAGTGATATCAAGGCAAAGATAGGTGAACCTACTAACAATGCAAAGGTAAAGGAAGATGTAACTAAGGATCAGACGGTAGAGATAGACAAAACAAGGGATATCAAGGATAAGGTAGATGAAACTAAAGATACTAAGATAAAGGATTTGAAAGAGGAAATAGACAGACAAAAAGATGGAGCCAAAGATAAGGTGAAGACAGATAAAATAGAGGATGATAAGATAAAAGATAAAGTAGAAGATGCTAATGTAAAGATAGATAAGAGAGAAGATGCCAAGGTAAAAACAGATAAAATGGTGGATGCTAAGGTAAAGACAGATAAGGTACAGGAGGCTAAAGTAAAAACAGAAAAGGTGGATGATGTTGCAGTAAAAGCAGATAAGGTAAAAGATGCCAAAATAAAGGCAGATAAAGTAGAAGATGCCAAAATAAAGATGGATAAGATAGAAGATACCAAAGCAGAGAAGGATAAGGTAGCAGATGCCAAAGTAAAGATGGATAAGATAGAAGATACCAAAGCAGAGAAGGATAAGGTAGCAGATGCCAAAGTAAAGATGGATAAGATAGAAGATGCCAAAGCAGAGAAGGATAAGGTAGCAGATGCCAAAGTAAAGATGGATAAGATAGAAGATGCCAGAGCAGAGATGGATAATGTAGCAGATGCCAAAGTAAAGATGGATAAAATAGAAGATGCTAAAGCAGAGAAGGATAAGGTAGCAGATGCCAAAGTAAAGATAGATAAGATAGAAGATGCCAAAGCAGGAAAATGTAGCAGATGCAAATAAAGATGATAAGATAAAGATATAAGGTAGCAGATGCCAAAGTAAAGATGGATAAGATAGAAGATGCTAAAGCAGAGAAGGATAAGGTAGCAGATGCCAAAGTAAAGATGGATAAGATAGAAGATGCCAAAGCAGAGAAGGATAGGGTAGCAGATGTCAAAATAAAGACGGATAAGATAGAAGATGTCAAAGCAGAAAAGGATAAGGTAGATGCCAAAGCAGAGAAGGATAAGATAGAAGATGTCAAAGTAATGGCAGATAAGATGGAAGAAGTCAAAGTAAAAACAGACAAAGTAGAGGATGCTGAATTAAAGACAGATGAAAGTATGGCTACCGAAGGAAAGTCAGGTGAAGTCCAAGGTATCATGGTAAAGTCAGATGTAATCACTGATGCTGGAACAAGTATAACAGAAAAGAAGAAAGTACGAATCAGGACTCCAAGTATGGATTCCCAAAAAGGACTTGGCATTGGAAAGGTTGAGGATATAATTGCAGCTGGCACCAAGGATTCCAACAAGTCACTTGAAGTCACAAATATATTGCCCAAGGTGGATGAAGCTTCTGGTACTCCTGTCAAGTCAGAGGAAGTAAAAGATGTAGAAACAAAATCAGATATCAGATCAGCAGAAAATGTTCCTGAGACACCTAAAACACCTGAAGAAACTGGCTGCAGGCCTAAAGTTTTTAAATTACCTGAATCAACAAAAGAAGAAAATCCAGGAATAGATGTGAACCAGGCTATTATGCAGAAAATCACGAGGAAGAATCACGAGGAAAACAGGCACGAAGAAAAGAAGGGTAAAAGAAGTGTGGCTCTCAAGGGAGCAGTTATGGGAGCTGTCAATAAAACTAAATTGGCCTTTGGCATAGGAACCAAAGCTGCAGGAGAATCTGTTCCAGTACAGCCTAGTATACCACAGCCAAGTGCTGTACCAAAGCCTGATGAAAATACGGATGATAAGATAAGTAACAAAATATTAGAAAAACCTGTTCCTGAATTGGAATCAGAGGTGGAAGCTTTGATAAGAGAAGCATCAGCTCTCCTAGGGCCTGACAGTATTTCTCCACAACCTTCTACCTCGACTGCATCAGCGCCATCCAGTCCCTTGAAGGATATTGAAAGACCTATATCCTTGAGTGAAAAACTAGAGTTACATATAGAGAAGAACCATACAACTTGCATAGGAGAGGAAGGCGAGGAAGAAATATATGTTGATGCCATTGACCCGTCCCAACTTCATTCTTTACCCTCTAATGCAGTAGATCCTACCCAGTTCGATATCTTGATGCCTCTCCCAGATGTTCAGGCAGAGAGAGAGCGACGCTCTCGTTCTCGCACTCCCATGGATCGCTCTGAGAGATCCTGCACACCATCATCTGTAGTAGCACAGACTGAAGCTCTACTCTCCGAGACAGACCGACTCCTCAAAAGGTCTCGATCCAACAAGTCCCTCAGAAGGTCTTATAGCCGTTCAATGTCAGCAGCAGCACTGCATAAAGTAGGTCTACAAACCACACATACCCCTTAGGGAATGGGAGAAAGTAAAAACCTGGGGATCCAGTAGTGTCTGAAATTGCTTGTCATAAACCCTATCTTCCCTTTTTGTAGTATGTGTGTGTGTTTGTGTGTGTAGACCTCAATAATTTTGTACTTCTATGTTGTAGATTTGTTTTTAAAAATTCCTTAGTGTAGTGTGATGTACCATATACCCAGTATCCACTATGCATTATGTTGAATTCCAGTTTAACATGTTCACATACCTTGTTCACTTCCAGTCTGCGCAGATGGTATTGGAAGCTAAGTGTGAGCTCCAAAGAAATGGAATATTGTGCAACGTAAGTTGTCATGTGAAGAGCCACATGACAGAAGAAAATTACCAAATTTGCATACACTAGCTCCTTTACTTTTGTATATTTTCTTTTATTTAATTGTTATGGTTTACTCCTTTCAGGTATTTTAGAGGTTTTACTAATCACAAATGTAATTTGAAACCTTGGTCTCATATCCATAATTTATTTATTTTACAGTATCTCATTGCAGTGAGTTATGGTTTGACAGATGCAATCATTTTTATTTAATTTCTTTTGTTACAAGTACTATTATTTTTTTATGTATTTACTTTTATTTTATTTAAAAAGGCTACACAGTTTATTCACAGCTTTCTATATTTGAAGTAGACGATTAATTTACTCACAAATATAAACATAAGAAAAAACATCTATTCACATTACAGTAGTGGAATTTGCATTAATTTTTCACATCTCTTGAAGAATCATGTCAAATCCATAGACATAATTCATTCTAATATGTGAATATCTGTTAGTTGTTAGTTTTGAGTAGTTCTATATCATATTTATTGAGTATTAGTGCTATAAGCAGAATTCTAACAGTTTGTTGAGAACTTCAAGACTTTAGATGGACTTTGTATGTGTAGAGATATAATATCAAAATCCATCTAACTATAAGCAATATTCTAAAAGTTCTTTCCCTTATTAAACAGCTGTCAGAGGTAGCAGCAGACCTCTCAGAAGAGCATACCACAGCACACCTAGCAGGAGAGAGGTTGGAAGCTGAACAGGCAGAAAGAATGAAGCTAGAAAAGGAATTAGACAGGCTGCAGGTAAATAGAAGAACTGTCACAGTTAGTTTTCTGGGTGAAATGGAGTTATGCAGAATATTATTTGTGAATTAACTTAGGAATTTAATAAGCCAATTTTTTTTGCACTGGATAGAATTATGGTTCAGAGCTGTGTTCTTTTTCCTGAGATTTAGTTTTGATTTACTTATAGTACATTCATTTTTATTAATTTGTTGTTATTCAGATCAGGTGTAAGCATATGCAGATATTGAATAGTTATATATTTATTATAACTATGTATTTGAAATAAGTGAATGGGTAGTTGCAAGCAGTCTGTGAATCTGGAATTAGATAATACAAAGAAAAACTTAAATTATTAAATTTCACGGCATCTTACAGACGGACGTTAGGCGCATGACAACAGAGAATGGTAAGCTCGAGATGGAGAAACTAGCACTCCGCACAGAAGTCCTCTCAGCAGCGGATCTCAATGGAGATGCAGATGATGACGATTACGGCGAAGAGGCCTCACTCTACAAGCGAAAGTATGAGTGGTGCCTTCGAGAGATTGAGGTCCTGAAGAAACAATTGAAGCAGCAACAGGAGGATGATTATGATCAGCTTGTCCTAATGAAGAAACAGCTGGAGAAAAAGGTTTGTCAACTAATCTTTCTCTCTGTGCAAGTAATTTCTCCTTTTTAAGTTGGTCCATTAAGGTTAACATCAATGGCACTTTTTTACATGCATTGAATTCTGATTTAGCATCTTCAGTATGGTTATAAAGAGAAAAGTAAATGATGGATCCCCTTTTTCTGTTTTGTAATCAAGTATTAAATACATCCAGAAGGTGAACAGTCAAGTAAATATATTTCCTACTATTTAAGATGCACAAGCCTAATATGGTAGATTATCCTTATAAAATTCAGCAATGAATATTTGGGAGACAAATATTTTTATCATATATGTTCTAGAATAAATGGTGATGATGATACTATAGGAAGTCTTTTCTGTTCAAAACATTTAATTTTGGCCGTAGAGTTGTTAATGGTCCCATGCTGAGTAATTGTGGATCTGGAATGACAAGTAAAACCATTGGTTGGTTTAAGTTCAAGCAATATAAATTGTGTATTACCTTTAAAAGTTTTCCAGGAACTTCTGGTTGCAGAATAGGGAAACAGTTACAGAGATGGGCATTTTTAATCATTTTAGCAAACTATATTGACATTATGGACATTCCTGCTTATCAAAGGAAATTCACCTATCATTGGTGTTCAAAATGATACCATGCTTTGTTGTGTAAGGTGTTATCACAAAAATAACAATGGCAATCTATTAGTAGGGGCATTAAGATAATTTTTCTATAATTGTACTCAAGGGCTAGCATAAATTAACATCAAGGTAAAGTGCGCAGTATGATTATTGGATAGGAAAAAAAGTATGATAATTGTGTCTGAGCAGTTAGTGACAGAGCTAAATAGATGATGTAAATACATTTTTTATTGCATTCTTATACAATAGGTGACATGGGAGAACTCATTTTAAGGTTGATTTTCCAAGTTACTTTGACTTAACCTTTTTCCTGATTCAACAATATGTAAATGAAATTTGAATTTACCAGTAAGAAACTATCAAAACTTTTAGCTCTAGAATAGAGCTAAATGAAATTAGGTTTAGACCATTTGGTAACAACAAAGAGTGTTAATCTTATTTGTTGATTAAATGATTTATGTGTTTGTGAATTTAAAACCCATTTGATAATAAAAAAAAGTTTTGGTTGTAAAGAGGTGGTTGATTGATCAGAGTAGAGCATAGAAAAAGAAATTTAGAATTTTATGAAATTTTTTTAACAAAATGAATAGAAAGTATGGAGAGTCCTTGAAATGACAGAATATTTTACCAAGATTTTACTGTATTCTATAATCTTCTCACCCCAGGTGGCAGATGCATATGAGGAAACAGACGAACAACGACAAGTGGTGGCACAGATGAAGCGGAAGTGCCAACGACTCCAAGCAGAAATGAATGACCTGAAAATACTGCTGGAGGAACAGACTTCGCGTAATAATCTCCTGGAAAAGAAGCAGAGAAAGTAAGTATTCCAGAAATCAAACACTGCTTGTGGTCATGTGGATAACAGTCATACTAAAATGATGATTAGTGTAGGATTCCCCCAGAAGCCTTGTTTATGTATTTTTAAAAAGACCATTTTGATTAAGATTTCAGCATAGTCTATAGACTTTTATTGTTATTGTTATTATTTTATTTTATTTTTATTTATTTTTATTTTTTGATGATTTTTGTATTGTTTCATTACTCGTGAATACTGAATTTGAGATATGAATTTTAAAAAGTGTATTTTAATACAACCTAAGTATCTGAAAGTAACCCCTGCATTAAATATGTCAAACAGATGTATAATCAGACTTGATAATGCTACCTCAACAGCAAGTAAGACAATCAATGAGATATTTCTTCTTACTCTTCCTATAATCAGGTTTGACCAAGAGATGATGGCAGTTCAAGAGGAGCTGCGAGGGGAAAGATCCAACAAGGAGAAGATCCAGAGGGAAAGAGACCAGATCCTCTCCCAGAAGTATTCGTTCGAGCAAGAAGTATCGGTGAGTATTTGCATTCAGTCTCGAGTATCTACGATAGGGGATGGTTGCATATTTGGTAAGGGATTGTTGTATATTTAAGTAGAGGATTGCTGTATGTTTAAGAAAGGGTCGTTTTATGTTTAATGGTGGTTTGTGGTGCTGTTTGGTATCAAATCAGCAGTATTGAATAATTTGGTTTGAGTTATCAGTTTACATAAGTAGGGAGGAAAGTGCACCTGGTTAGAAAAACGAAAATTATGCCTAATAAATCATGAGGTAATTGATCAAGGAAATACAAATAGTACACACCTCTAATAAGACCAGAAAAAGGTAAAAGTTTAGAATTATAGATAATTTATAGGAAGGGAAATGTGCCACCTGGCTTGAGAACACAAATACACACACAAGGAATAAGGTTGAGTTAATTACTTAGGAATTTATATATAATTGCATTTGTTGGAAGGAAACTGTGTTTATATCTTTATTTTTATTTTTTGTTAATCCATATTTTCGTTTTTTTTAATGTCTTGGAGAGTAAAACTGAATATTTTCTAATGAATGTCTTTTTTGTGATGATGGCTATAATTTTTTTATACTATTTTTCTTGCTGCCATACTGTCTTAAGTGTAGCGTTGAGAGTAAGAAATAAAGATTAAGTGTCGAGGTTTCAAAGAAAACGATACCTAGTTAACCTAGAAAGAAGAGAAGACGGAAAAAAAGTTATTCCCTATTTTATTCATGTCGGTTTCATTAGAGGCCATTAGTATAATAACATAATGAAGCCACGCTCCAGTTGATATAGGAGGAAGTTTTGTGGCGGGAACGCCCTAGTTACTCTGCGCGGGTTTTCTGAATTATGAACGGGACAGGAAGATGCGATTGTTGCATTGGTCAGTTCGTGACACTTGGTGATCATGTGTGTGTGTGTAGCTTTTGATGGTGGAAAAGTGTCATGTTGGAAAGGGCGTTTTTTAAAGTTTTGGAGAAAAAAAGTGATTTCCAGTATGGTTTATATCAAGAGACGCTTGCGTGTTTCTATGCGGATACACATGCAGTCACGTACTATTGTATAAATATTTCTATATGGCATGTGGTTAAATGCATACGTATGTACAACGGATTTGTCGATAAGTAAATAGATGATTCGCACGTAAACTGCTTATGTAAGACAGAAATACACATTGAAAGACGGACATACCCGCATTCATAAACCAACGTTAAAAAAGAAAAGCAAGAAACATGAAGTGGCGTCCTCTTTGCGAGGAAACGAGACTGGTGAAGACGTTGCCGGCGGGGTCGAGGAAAGTGCGTGGGAAAGTGAGCTAAGTGGCGTTCGAACTCACTCCCTCTCTCCCCCTCCCCCCTCCGATTTGCCTGCATTACATTACATTATGATGTTCTGTTCCATTTCGGCCGGACGCGGCGGGGTCATGCACGCAATGCGGTCTGCTTGGTTGTTCTTGCGTCGCCGTGAACTCGGTGAATAATTCAATATTCTTTATTTTATTTGATTTATTTAGTTATTTTTTTATGAAAGGAAATTTATTCCTTGGTGTGATTCGACCCAGTTTCCCACAGGATAATGGCCGGATGTGAATATTCGTACATAAAAGTGTAATGGGTTACCAGGGTTCTTTTTTCAAGGGTTTTATATAATGCGAATAGGGAATATCAGCGATTCAGCTTAGAACATTGCCTATGCTTTTAACAAAGATTTTTCTTCAAATAATCTGGCTTTGAGGGGAGAGGGGGAGAATGACGAAGTGCAGAGTGCCGCCCGAGAGGAGTGCTGGCCAGTGCCTCTGCTCCAATTTTTTAGTCTTATTCGTCTTTTCTTTTGCTTCTGATTATTATTTCTTTATTTTCTGTTTTTTTTTCTTCATCAGCTTATTTTCTTCCTCATCTTTTTGAAACGAGGCAAATATGTATTGCAGACATTGGCGATTGGCTGAAAGCAACGTGTCTGAATGACATGTTGCATTGCATAAATGTCAAAAAAAAAAAAAAAAAAAAAAAAAAACGGAGGTCATCAGTCGTCACCAATATATCAAATACATTTTCGCCTCGTTAAGATTTAATAAAAAATAAAAAATCAGAGGAAATGTATATCAATAGAAGACCTTTGCAGACATGCACCAATTGCGTGAGTGCGTCGGGTGGGTTTTGGTCTCAGTGCCGGCCGGGATGCGGTTGGCGGAGCGGCGTTCCGAACGGCCGCGCGTTCGCTGGATGGGCGCGTAGATCTGGCGGCGGCGGGTGATCAGGTGCATGGCGTGGAAGGGGGGAAGGGGGGAAGGGAAGGAGAGGAGAGGAAGGGAGAGGGGGTAGAGTGGTGGGAGGAGGGATAGGAGGGTGGTGTGGGTGGCTGGGATAAGGAGGGCGGTGGAGGGGAGAGTGGAAAAGGAAGGGGGGAAGGGGGTGGTAGGGAAGGACGGGCGCTGCTATGGTCTGGATGTTCTGCGCGTCTGCCTTTCCAACGACGCATCTCGCTTTGGAATGTGCTTGCTTGTATTTGCTTGTCTCTCTGTCTTGTTTAGTTGCTTTCTTTCTTCTTCTTCTTCTTCTTCTTCTTCTTCTTCTTCTTCTTCTCTACTTCTTTTTTCTTCGTTTCTTCGATTTCTTTCTTTTTCTTCTCCTCCTTCTTTCTTCTTCCTTCTTCTTCTTCTCCCTCTCCTCCTTCTCCTTCTCCTTCTCCTTCTCCTTCTCCTTCTCCTTCCTCCTTCTCCTTCTCCTCCTTCTTCCTCTTTCCTTCTTCTTTTCTTCTTCTTCTTCTTCTTTCTTCTTTCTTCTTCTTCTTCTTCTTCTTCTTCTTCTTCTTCTTCTTCTTCTTCTTCTTCTTCTTCTCTTCCCTTCTCCTTCTCCTTCTCCCTTCTTCTCCTTCTCCTTCTCCTTCTCCTTCTCCTTCTCCTCCTTCTCCTTCTCTTCTTCTCTTCTTCTTCTTCTTCTTCTTCTTCTTCTTCTTCTTCTCTTCTTCTCTCTTCTTCTTCTTCTTCTTTCTTTCTCCTTCATCTCCTCCTTCTTCTTCTTCTTTTTCTTCTTCTTCTTCTTGTTCTTTTTATTCCTTTTCTTCTCCTCCGCCTTCTTGGTGACAAGGTGGTTTCGTGGGACTTTTGCTGATCAGGTATTTACTCGCTTGTGTAATTCATTCATTGAGTCGCTTGTTCATTCTATTCATCTAATTGAAATCTCTAGTCTCGTTTTTTCAATCTTTCACTTACTTGCAGACTCATTTGCACTCATTCACTTATTCATCCAACTCACTCACTCATACAATTTCGAATTCGCTCCTTCAGTCACTCGCTCACACACACTCGGTCACTTATTTCTAAATTCAGTCTCGTATTCTTTCACAACTTTTGTCGGTTCACTCTCCTTTCATGCACGCACTCACCCATAAACTCTCTCTCTCTCTCTCTCTCTCTCTCTCTCTCTCTCTCTCCTCTCTCTCTCTCTCTCTCTCTCTCTCCTCTCTCCTCTCTCTCTCTCTCTCTCTCTCTTCCTCTCTCCCTCTCTCCCTCTCTCTCCCTCCTCCCTCCTCCCTCCCTCCCTCCCTCCTCCCTCCCTCCCTCCCTCCCTCTCCCTCTCCCTCTCCCTCTCCCTCTCCCTCTCCCTCCCTCCCTCCCCTTTTCCCTTCCTCCCTCTCCCAGTTTTCCTCCTTTCTCCATCTCCCTCTCTCCTTCCTTCCGTCCTCTCCCTCTCCCATTCCTCCCCCACCCCCCGTTCTCCTTGGGCGATCTAGATATTGATGTTAAACTTGTTGAGGGCGTAAGAGATCCGCGCTCGCAACGGGCGGGGAGGGGGAACTCGACACCTGGGAAATCGAGAGTATTAAAGCAGGCGATGATGGGGGAGGGGGGAGGGGGATGGAGAGGGGAGAGGGTAGGATGGGTAGATGAACGAGAGGAGGGGGATGGTTGGGTGGAGGATGGGTGGAGAGTGGATAGGATGGGTGGAGGGTGGTGATACTTGGGATTAGTCTTTTTGATTGTCTCTTTTGATGCACGTGATCGATTGTTCGTCTGTCGTCTTTGAGACACTCAGTCCTCTCTTCTGTTTTTTTTTATCTTTTCTTTAGCACACTCGATCGCCTATTCGATTATTATCTGCATTAACCCTTTCTCTGCGGGTTAAAGCGAGCGCCCAGTTTTCTTCCCGAGATCCTGTCCCGGTGACGTTGGCGGCGCTGGTTCCTTTGCTCGTCTCTGGCGTTCGAGTGCAGTTTTGTTTGTTTGTTTGTTTTTTTGTTATTTCCTCGTGTCGTCCTGCTTCTCCGTTTTCTGTTCGGTTTCTTTGTTTTTCCTTCTCCATTATTTTGTTATTATGTGTGTGTGTTCTTTTGCATACTCTCTTTTGCAGATCGTTTGTTTCTTCATCGTCGTCGTCGTTGTCTTCTTTTTTGTCTTGTTGATCGTTTTCACTAACTTTTGCCCACATTTTTTTTATTTCTCTGTCCACACACTTCTTCTTTTCCCTCATTTCTCGTTAAGTGGTTTCTTCGCCGTCCATCTCATTTCTTCCGTTTTCGATCGCCTTCCATCTTCCACCTCCTTCCTTCATCTGTATTCTTCCACCTTCCATCGTCTTCCATCTTTTATCTCTTATCTTCTATATATTCCCATCTTCAGTCACATGCTCCTTCCTCTTCCTACTTCGCTCCTTCGCACAGTGATAACGGAGTGTAAACAAAAACAAGATAGGCAGGTCTACGGGAGATTACCTGGATTAAGTATAATTTATCAGTCCCTTGTTCTCTCGGGGGGGGGGGGGGTATGGGAGTCACGTGGGAGACTGATAGTGAGTGACGTGTATGGTGAGTGGTTGGAACGGCGGTTGTCAGGCGGGGTTGGTGGTGCGGGTGAATTTGCGTTTTGGTTGTTGGGTTTGGTGTTGGGCGCTGGTAGGCAAGATTTTGGTAGGTGGTGGACGGCAGGCAGCGCGGTAGGCGATCTTGGCAGGTGGTAGGTAACGCGGTAGATTGCGGGCGATGATGGTGGGTTGTGGGTATTTAAGGGGAGGAGTGG